CACAAAACCATCAACTTCGATGGCGCTGCAACCAGGTACAGCCTTAATGCCTTTATCCTTCATCTGCTTTCTTACGATGCTCATTTTCACCCATTCTGAAACTGAGGCATACAAACTGGCTAGAATGCTATAGTTTTCTGCATTGAGCGGCTCTAATTTAAGAAGCCGCTCACCAACAATCTCACCTTTGTCCAAAATCTTGTTTTTCTTGCACCCCACGAGTAAGGTTCTCCAGATTGCTGGATTTGGGGATATAGGCATGGTTTCAACAAATGTGTAAGCCTCTTCAATTAGATCTGCTCGGCAAAATAGATCAACCATGCAGCCATAATGCTCCATAGATGGTTCAAATCCAGAATCAAGCATGCTTGACCAGTATTTTCGGCCCTCAGACACTAGTCCACTATGCGCACATGCGGATAGAACACCAATGAATGCCACATGGTTAGGCTTCACCTGAGAACATTAAATGACCATGGATACAAGTTAGCACAAATACACACCAAAGAAGAAACCAAAAATATATCAAACATTTGATATTAACCTACTGTGAAAAAAATAAAGCTGCCTGTGTGTCGAGCAAAGGTCATACATCGCATAACATTAAGTGTGTCTAATCTAAAATACCATTCGGTAACACTTTTTTTTAAATACTAGTTTTCTTTTGTTTTTTTTTCAAACAGTTCTTAAAAGAAAGATTTGTTTTCGAACATTTTAGCTTTTCTTGTTCGACTTAATCTCTTATTCTAAGCTTAATAGCATGTATTCTAGTATACATATATAGTTTGTTATGTACATACTGAGTTTCATATAGATCACTTTTCTTGTTCGACTTAATCTCTTATTCTAAGCTTAAAATAGCATGTAGTCTAGTACATACTCTGTTTCATATAGATCACTTCTATCATTTAGTGTTCAAGTATTATTTTGATTTTGAAATTTCTTTCTTACTGAAGAAAAGCATTACCATAAGGTAGTTAAGAGTTATTACCTGAGCTTCCTCCATCCTAGCAAAGGCCATCAATGCATCATCCACAAGCCCATGAATCGCGAACCCAACCATCATCGAGCTCCAAGCTTTGGTATCTTTGACCGTCATTGCCTCAAAAATCTCTCTAGCCTTTTCTATACGCCCGCACTTTGCATACATATTAACAAGCGCAGTACTAACCTCAAGATCATTTTCAATAAACTTCTTCTCTATATAAGCATGTACCCACCTCCCAACATCCAATGCGCCAGACATAGCACAAGCTGATATCACACTAACCATTGTCACCTCATCCGGGTCAACACCCGCCTTTTGCATTTCCCTAAACAAACCGAATGCCTCATTGACCATCCCAATTCTAGAATACCCACTGATCATTGAACTCCAAGCAACTACATTTCTCTCAGGAATTTCATCAAACAACTTTCTAGCTAATTTTATGTCTTCACATTTTCCATAAAAATTAACCAATGAGGTTTGAACAAAAGGACTTGAGTCAAACCCAGTTCGTATTACACGTGAATGGACTTGTTGGCCTTCTTCAGCGGCCATTAAAATTGAGCAAGCTTTAAGAACAAAGGCTAAAGTGAAAGTGTTTGATTTTGGGTAATTTCTTTTGACAAGTTTTTTGAAGATGAAAATGGGTTCTGGTGATGGGGTTTGTAGTTGGGAAAGACCTCTGATGAGGGAATTATAAGAGAAGATGTTTGGGTCTGCGATTTGATAGAAGACCTTCTTGGCGTAGTTGATATCGCCGTGGGGAGAAAGAGCAGCAAAGCCGACAAGTTTGGAGAGAGCGAAGGAGAGAGAGGAGATGGGGAGTGGGTGAGTGAGAAGATGAGAATGGATTTGCCGGAGGACTCGCATGTTGGGGCATTTTTGGATCAGACATGCGAGTCTTTCTTCTGTGTCTTCCAGCTCTTATTGTTTCTGTGTTCAATGCTATGTTAGTAGTAAGTTTTTGGTCAATGGAGATTTGAGAAAGTTCTTCAAAAGCAACAATAATTCTACATACTTTCGTGTCACGATGAAACAATATTAGCGAATACTCGTCGGCTAATTTACAGAGAGATCCCTCTAATTTTTACAATATCACTATCATCCCCTCTATTTTATAATAGTTATAATCCGTGTCTGGTAAAATATAAAATTTAAGTGTTCAAAAAATCGAACTTATTATATTAAATAATAATTTTTTTCTTCATTTATTTGATTACATTATTTAAAATTTATTTTTTTCATTATTTTCTTAAAAATATATCAAAATATGTAATTCGAAAATTTTTTTTAACATGTATATATTATCGTGTATGAATAATGTCTAAAATAAAAATTATATTAAATTACAAATTAATCAAATATTAAATTATTAAATATATAATAAAAATAACTGACGTAATGTTATATATATATATATATATATATATAATATAAAAATAAAATTTTTAAATTGTTAGGTATTTTATTATAAACATATTCGTTTTACATATTATTTTAACATCTGTGACATGGGCAAAAAGTGATGATGTCATCAAAAATACTTTTTTAAATGACAACTTTACCTTTTAAGTATAACTTATTATCTTACTTCCATACTTTTATACTTCCTTAATTTTATATTCAAACATCACTTATTCTCTTTTTTGAACAAAACTAATATTAAACCCAAACATCTCTCTCTCTCTCTCAAAAATCATCAACATAACTCACCATCACTTGAATGTTAATTAGTTGAAGGCTAGTTTGGTGTTCATTGGATAAAATTTAATATTAAGTTGATAAAATTATGTTACATTGTTGAATTTAAATATTATTTGGATGAAATTAAATTGATAAATTAAATATTAATTTGATATAATTGAATTTTGATGAATTAAAGGCAAATTTGGTATTACTTTGATAAAATTGAATCTTAAATTGATGAAAAAAAAATATTAATTTGATAAAATTAAATATTAATATGACACAATCAAATAATTAATTGATAAAATTGAATGCCCATTTGATAGAATTAAATTTTAATTTTGATGAAATTGAAGCTCAATTTTTGATAAAATTAAATTTTTAGTAATAGACTTTAATATTAATTTGATGTTAGCCTCTACCAACACCACCTATCACAACTCTTATTTCATCAATTGAATGTTAATTTGGTATTGATTGATGAAATTGAAGGACAATTTTATGTTAATTTGATGAAATTAAAATTAAAATTGATGAAATTGAATTAAAAATTTGTCAAGAGTATATATATAATTGTACATGCCAATCATATAACAAGAATGGGGATAAATGAGTGAAAATGATATAATGACAAAGTTTGACGGGAGATGACAATGATATTTCCGAAACTAGAAGGATATCCTTACAATTAGGCAATGTATCACTTTGAGGAGTAACCATCACTTACCAGATTGGAAGATCACTTATAGTTCGAATATGTCGGTTTCGGAACTCTTGCCTTCATATGGACAATGAGAGTAATTTATTTACAATGCTCCCACTTTTATCCTGTACCATATGCATATGCACGCAACTGAGGGACTAAATATTTAATGGATGGGTAATAGTATATCATTAGTCGTAATATCGTCAATTATTCCAATGTGTTAATTATCGGATATGGTGATTGTGGGTAGTTATTAAAATAATAAGGTCCACTAAATGTTCTATAATTAGTTATAGCACTACACGTTATTGTTACATCGAATATTTTCCAACCGAGGTGCTTGTTTGTACTTCAGTTCCATAACATTATTGAACAGTTCCTTGCACTAAGGTTAAAATTTGCCCTCACTAAAAAGTATATAAAATAATGTAGAGATAGTTTTTATTTTAGAAAATATTTGGGATATTTTTTTTTTTGTTCCAATGAGTTTTAATAAGGAAAATTTGGTGGTAGATCCTCACTTTTCAGTTTTTTAGACTAATAATGCAAGTGCAAATCTTTTAAAGTCATGAAGACAAAAATATAGTGATAGATAAAAATACCCTTAATGGTCCACGTGGGTACAATTGTACTCCGGTTAAAAGATTTTTTTTTTTTTACTCTGCCTGTCATTTTCTTTGCTTAAAAATGTGTCATAAAAGTAGGAAAAACATACAAAATGTATGCACCAGTTACTCTGTATTAAATCCATACTTTCCAATAAAAGTCATTTTCTCACTCATCCAAAAATTATATGTATTTGACTAGTAATTTTTTGAGTTGCATTTGAGTTGACCTCAATATGAACCATTAATTAGCGGGTCTTATTGGATCCATACCTATAGCCAAGAAATGAAGGAGGCCAACGGCTAAGGAGTAGCCCAAGCGAAATAGAACTAAGACTCAGAATTGAGCAAAAAGATTCGCTCGCAAACAGAAGATGTGACACACTTGTCGGCTTTATGTGGACAAAACAAGGAGCACAACCCAGGGGCGAAAACTCAAAATGGTATGTAATATCATTATGATTCATAAAATTGTATCGTTCAAGATTAACAGTTGAGTGTGTGATAAAGTATAATTAATAAATAATAAATAAAATAATTAATAAAAAAATAATAAATATCGAGTCAACACATAGATATATAGTGATTCGATTCGGGTGACTTGCTCCATTTTCGAAAATGACAATGGTGGCAGGGAGTATTTATTGATTTATAAAGTAAGAGAGAGAAAGCTCCGAGAGAAGTACAATGACTAAAAGAAAGAAGTTATGTGTGTAGAGAGGTGTGGTGAGATACCAAGATGTGTCCTCTCATGTAGAGAGGGCTTATAGTTTATAGATATGATGAGGCGGTGAGGTAAGGCAGTGACGCGAGTGTGAGGACACTAATTCTTCGGAGATGATAGTTACAAAAGGTAAGTACAATTACAGATTGTTACGATCTTTGAGGGTGTGTATTCCGATAATCTTTTTCTCACGTGCTCTTATCTTCCTGGATTTCTTGGGCTGAGCCGGATTTGTGAGCTGGGCTTGACCTGTCTTTTAGCTAACATGGACTTACTTGATTTATTGAGCTTGATCCAGTTGGATTTGAGCTCGATATTTGCCCCCCATGCCCCAAGCCCTGATTGCTTGCGAGAGAAGGGGGTTGAGGGCATGAGTGAGCCTTTGGATAAATAAGGGTTCCTTGTTATCCACAGTAGTCTTTAGCTTTCCATTTCTGTATTCTGCAAAAATTTCTTCCCTTATTTGGCGACACCGTGTCTACCTGTGTCAACCATTAATCCTGTATTAGGTTTTTCGCTACACTTGGACTCCTTTTTTATCTAGAGCACCAACCTTTAGGTTCAATTATTAGCTGGGTGCATGCATTGCTGGCGAAGAAGCTACGAGTGGCGACGTCTTCAACCATATTGGAGCAGGCTTGGGCCTCTTGGGCGTTGGCGCTGGCGCTGGCTGGCCTGGGAGACGCTTGGCAGCCTAGGTGCTGCCTTGGAACAAGAGGCGACTCCAGGGATGCTATATGATCTGGGCGTCATGAGGACCAAGGCATAGCCAGGAGAAAGGAGTGTGCTGAGGCGTTGGCCAGTGTATCAGAAAATCATGAAAAAAAGGTAAAACTTTGCATGACCATAACTTTGCTTTCGGTTGTTCATTTGAGGCATTTTTTTTTAAATCTGGGTATTTTTTTGAGATCTACGACATACAAATAGCCAAAGGTGGTTTGGTCAACAAATTTTTCCAAAAAATACTTATGTCTCTCTAAATTTTAGTTTTAACCACTAATTAGTGAAACTGACGGTGGTGGAAAGCTGCGTTCTGGCAGACAGCTGTCAGGCATTCATGAGCGACGAATTGACATTTTTGGATTTTTTCCAGAGATGGAGACTATGATGGCTTTCGAATGGGTAAGAGGCGAACTAACTTTCTTCAATCCTACTTTCTCCTTAATATTTTCTCGATGTTGGTTCTTTATACTAACCTTGTCTCTAATTATAGGTGCCCTGTTGATATGACGATGGTGATGACATTCTACGCTTTTAGAGTGGTGTCTTTCCCTTTTCTCAAGAGGGTGATATTTGAAGCCACCAGTGCTTTTCGGTTGAGGTCCGATGGCCAGGTTGCTTCCCGGGAGTGGGATCTAGTGGTGCCCCCATTCCTTTCCAGACTAGGACTTCTATGTGTACCAGAGCTAGCCCTTGTACAGTTGTAGGAGTTGAGACTCTAATGCGGTCTTCTACGGGGACTATAGCTCCACATAACTATCCTACTTCTAGTAGTGGCTCGGTATAAGGGGCATTATCAATACCGCGATGGAGTCTTCTATGGTATGTCTCTTTTCTCAACTTTGATTTTTTACTCGCCTCCTTTCCTTCATGTTTTACTTTTTGAATGCTTACAGGCGACTGTCGCTTTTTC